CGAGTACCTCGGGCCAAACGCCTGGGGTTTGAGGTTTAAGGTTTCGGGTATCGGATCGCAGAAGAAGGGGCTTCCCTTAGCTGAAAGATGCTCATGTGTAAGGCTCCAGGTTTTGCAGTTTCCGGTTCAGGCCTTACTGTAGGGTTCAGGGTTTCGAGCAATTCAAGCAGCCCTCTCTCCCTTGTTTGGCATAAACCGCCCTCGAGCAACCCTCCCTACTGCAGTGATGTCTACGCACCTGCAGGCTTCACTAACTACGCTCCTGAAACCCTGACCACGAAACCTTCAGGCCTTGTGTTCCTAAACACGAGTTGTGCAAAAAGCGGCGCCGAGAATTCAATCATCCGAGGCTCCAGAACCCAAACTAGAGCCTGGAGGGAACTAACACCACCACAATCCAAACCAAGGCCTGGTAAAAAATACGCCACGACCAAATGGACGATCACGAGTCCTGCCTATTTCCTGCACATCCGTCGCGATCCTCCCTGCCACCCCTGAATCCCCTAAATCATCCGCTGAGCAGCCCTTGAAACCCCGCAGTTTCGTGGAATCCTAAAAGGCCAGAAGCCCGCAGCCGGGCAAAGGCCGCGGCTAGACCACTGTAGAGCATGCACACTTCCGGACGTGCCTCTAGGCTAGGGATTGTGGGTCAGGGTATGTCAGGGTTTAGGGTTTAGGAGCATAGAGATTGGGGAATCTGGTTTGGTGCGACTCCTACTAGGACTGTGTGTGCAAACATCCGCCATGCCATCAGTGCGAAAAGACCCGGCAAAAGCAACAGATTCGAGAGAAACCACGTCCAGGAAACGACGTTGTGAATGTGGCTTCATGGCTTTCAGCACACTCTACGTTCAACCAGATCCTAGACCAGAAAGATATCGTCTTGCAAGAGAACCTGCCATCGTCACACAGAAGGAATGCTCTTCGAACAAGAATTCCGGAGTTCGATAAGGGCAGAAGGCATTCCGTGGTCTCAGTTCCTTGCCGCAGTCGCTTCACTGTGAGAAAACTCTTTGCACTTGATGTCCGCGTCACAGGAATCCCTGGCAACACGACAGGAGTCAAGGATGCCATCTAAAAGGTACCTCTCTCCGCTTGTAGGAGGCAGCGCTAGGCTCCGAAGACGAGTCTAAGTTGGCAGTGATCTGGCATCGACTTCTCTTAGGTGTTCGGTAGCGGGTGGCGATGCAGTACCGCAAATGGTCCTTCCAAGTCGAGGCTGCATTGCCCACTTCAGGGGCACACTTTTTGCTCCCCAAGCCCTGCATATGGGTTCCATCGGGTTTTTGCTACAATTTGAGAGGGCTGCACTTTGTGCTGTGAGCTACATGACGTACACTGGTACACATTGGCCAATCGATGTTGTAATACGGAAATATGCCGGGTGGGCATCCATGCTCATGCATAGTCGCATTGACAATGCAAGAAGCTTCGGAGAGGACTGTTGGGAAGGCTGTTGCACCTGGGTAAGCCTCAGAGTGACCGGGTTCAACCGGTGTATCGCTAGAACCGAGAGAAGCCTGCTGCATTGGTTTCAGCTACAGCTACAGATGACTGCAGTTCAGGCCCAGATGCAGTGCGACCCAAAGCAGGCAGAAACAAGCCAAGCTCAAGCAGCATAGACTCTAGCCAGGTACAGTATAAACAATGTGCCCACAAAGTTTGATTTCCAGCCGCACCGCTGGCGAAAGTCCGAATACAAGAAGTGCCGAGCAAATAGATGCCCCGCCGAAAAGGGAATGGCGAAATATACAGAAGGAATATATTGCAGTGTAGCTTCCCACCTGAAGCCAGGAAGTCACACCTGTTCTGAGCCATAGTGAAGCCCGTGAATGTTATCGGCATAGTCTGTTCATGCCGGTTTCTGACGCGCCGCGTGCAGGCTGGAGGTTTCCCGAAACAACACCATGATTTTGGAAGTGTCAGCATCCTTCAGAAAAACCAATACTTGCCACTTTAAGTTCTGCCAGTACTCTGCACGACAAGGCACTCCTCTGATCTCTCGTGATTCTTCGAGGCATTCTGCAGACAGTTCACAACGCGAGGCCACACTACAAAACTTGGGCCTTGCGGCTTGTGACAGCCTGCGAGGTGCTCTTCGTTGCTGCAATCTGCAAAATGCTCAAAATGCAAAATACAGCTCAGAAAATTTTCTGGGAAAGTAAAAAAACAGTTCATATGTCTTGAATGTATTGGGACGTGGGCCCGTGTTGACGATGTTCCCGTCAACTTAAACTAGACTGAAGCCTTTCAGTGCGGTTGTGCGAGCACGGCCATTGGTGGATCTCTTCATGGGGGTCGGCTCCATGCCGTCCCGCCTCCTTTTGCCATCGACCTCTAGCCGGAGCCAGCCTGGCACCTTGCAGCTCACTCTGAAAAACCTGTGGAGGCTTTTCACGTGCGCAAGATGCATCTCACGATCCGGCGGACCAAGCATACCGGCCGGCCGATCCTCTGCCTGCTGAAAGTTCCACGAGCTCTCGACTGCGGATGGCTCCACGAACCCCGCCAGGACCCGCTCCTTGAGGATGTTCCGAAGGTGCTCCGGGACCTTGACCTCAACCACTCCGCACTCTTCGCTCCCCTCCAAATCCTCCGAGTCCTCCTCTTTTCGCCCGGCTTTCTTGAAGTCAGGGGCATGAGGCAGCATGGGGTCGAGCTGTTGCGTGGCTACCTGCAGTGAGGGCCGCTTTTTGGCACACTTGCTGGCTTCACGGCATGCCGCCTTTGCCGGACAATCGCTCGTCCCGCTGCCCTTGTCTCCCAGCTCGTCAAAGGAGACGACTTGCACGGAGGACTTGCACCCCATGGCTGCAAAGACGGGCGGGGGAAGCCTGACACTTGGCAAGTTCCGATCCAGAGCCGGAGCTAAGAAAGGCTGCAAGGAACATCTGCACTGCAGCTTTCTTTGACATCTCATGTACCAGAACAAATACAACAAAATAATATATTGTCCTACCTGTGCGGACTACATGGGTGCGAGATGGTGCGAGCAGTTGAGGCATGCCGTTGAAAGCAGGATTCGCAACAGGATCTCTGCTGCTTCGGGCATACCGAGAGTCTTCCTACGAGCAACTTCCTTTATTGACGGCTCGGTGTGAACTAGCGCGGTAGAAACTCCCAAAGAACATCCTTGAGGTTTAGGGGCAGGGAAGCTTTAGAGCTGCAGTGCCAAAGAATACTAGGTTAATCTGCTTATAACCTACTAATCCACTACAATGTACTGGAACCTGCGACAGTCTACTACGATACCCTAGAAGCCGGACGCAATGAGACCCACCTGACCTGCAGGCACTGCTGGACTGGGACGCTACGAAGAGCGGCTCGATGCCGGAGGCCGCGGTTCCTTGCTCCGGTCTGCTCCCGGGTACTTAAAGGAGTCCGTAAACAAACCCTCGTAGCAACCCATTTGTAAAAAGAAAGAACCCCTGAAAACAACCCCGAAGGGACTTTTAAAGTTATTCTGAACCAACATGCCAATCAGGCCTCCAGGAAAACGAACCCAGGGCTTGTGACGTCTGCTTCGACGTCTCTCAATTTTGCAAACTTGATAGCACGCAAACTTGATCCAAGTGGATGGGGGCCCCACACGCAATACGAGCTGACCATCGCAGAGCACGAGTGTACAGTAGGAACTCTCACCCTTCATCTTCACATCATCAACAACATCAACACCTCACCAGCAATGTCAACATCATCAGCATCACCAGCAGCATCGCCATCGTCACCATCGCCACCGCCACCATGACAATGCTTGTGCTGCAGCTTGCATCATTTGCTGTACGACTTCCCCCATAAAAGCACTACCCACAAGCCTTCAAAGATGCAGTCCTTACTCAGAGCTGGGCTGATGAGTGCTGAGCAGTTCTGGCTGGCCAGCTCCTGGCATTCTCTGCACCCGGGGACCGCCGTCTTCGAGAAGGCCGAACCCCGAACCGGCTGCCCCGCTCCGAAAAGGAACGCTTAAACGGCTTTCAGATTTGGCTCCCTCTTACTCTGGAAATCCTGCGCTCGCAGCCGGGAAGTAAGTATGACTGCACGTCACGCGACCAGCAGCAAGCACTGAATAGCTCCGGACGGCTTCTGGCACTCTTGTGACGACAGTAACCATCTCTTTACAGTACATACAAAGCGACCCTCGCGTCGCAAGCTCTGCTGCCTCATAGAAGAAAGACTCGCACAATTGGGGCATGAGCCGACATCCCTGCCGCAAGCTAGCCACGGGTGAAGAGCATTCGTGGGGCTTTGAGCGTTTTAGGGTTTAGGTTTTTTCGGCTTTAGGGTTTGGGGCTTCCTACCACACTCTGCATCCCAAACTCTAAGCCGGAGGTGATATTCCTAATAAGTGATCCTCTTCGGGCACATTATCAACAGTGAAAAGCACGTCACATAACACAGATTCCGACGTGAGAGCTACAAACACCTCTGTGCGTAGCAATCGGGCACTAGCACCATGATAACTGCTGCAGTGTTAGCACTATATACTTCCAGGAGTGGCATGCAAGCCCAAGCTGAAGTGTGAATCATCATAGTCAGAAGAAAAACGGGATCATCGCCATCATGCACCATCGTTCTCATCATAGCAACAGTACCGACACCGACTGCGGACAGGGCAATGCAAGACATGGCTCCTGGCCAAACTGAGTAGCACATTTCAGGCCCATCAATCCACATATTCTTGATAGCACTGGTCAAAATCAGTTTAACAGTGTTCAACAGATGCGGTGCATCAAGAGCAGGGAAATCCCGGTCATCCCAACAAATCACACAGGTACTGCTTGCATTGCTGCCACATGGCACCCCCAACAATCGTCATCACAGGAGTCACCACAATCATCCGCAACAGAATTGTCTCACACACAAATGTTGACTAGCTCTGAGACACATCATCATCGGCAGCAGCTCGCAAGACATCAAGCTCAGCACATGCCTGACAGGAAGGTTCGACAGCAAGTCGTGGAGCAAATGTCTGACACTGATGGCGATGACGACGATGACCATCATCATCATCATCCTACTGATGGTTCGAACCAGATATGTTTTCACAGAGCCTACAGCCTGTTGCAGCGTTCAACATGCCCTGTCACGTTACAAGTAACTGCCCAAAGAAAACGGGAATAGCAGATGTTGAAGGTGCAGTCAACATATCAGCAAGCAAATACACGCACATTGCAGCCTGGCTTTCCTGAAGAAGAGTCGCTGCCTGCACACCCTGCAGAAGGCTAATCTTCCAGCGGCAGGCAGCACCACACTCCTCAACCTTACAAGCATGGGCACTGAAGGCCTACATTTGAAGATGGTCTGCAGGCATCTGGTAACGCATTCTTGCATATGTCGGGTGTTGCAAAGGGTCCACGCATGCATGTCGACGAAGCTATGCACATGAGTGGCGATCAAGTTTGCTACAGACTGACGATGAGCCATGATGCTGGGGCACACATGGACTGGTTGTTGAAGGTCCGGCTATCTTCAAGCGCACCCCGCATCTAGTGAGGCACAGTGGCTAAAGCTAGTAAAAAATTCCGTGCAAGACGACCAGAAGGCTAGAGGCGAGGGACGCCCGCGCCGATCCGAGATGCCCAAGAGCAGTCCAAGGCATGGCCCAACCTGGAAAGCGCTTGTGGGAAGGAGTCGGAAAGAGTAATCTAACATGGACATGCATGGGTCTGAGCCACCAAAACCGCTGTCATCAGCCCTAAGCATGCAAAATTGGGTGCATGACACTGCAGTGCAGCACATTCATCCCCTGAGGCACAGGCTGGAGGTAGATACTCTCATTGCAGAGGTGTTCCACCTGATTTGGGGGCGGGAGATGCTCACACTCTACAAGGGCCTGGGGGAATCAGTGTATCCTGTTGAACTTCTGCACAAGGATAACGAACTGGGTCAAAAGGTTCGGTTGCCAATTGCTTGCAGTTAAAAGCCATCATAACTTCGCCGCAGGCGCCTGTCTGTGCACCAAAGGTTCGACCACGTAAATTCGCTGCATCACTTGCATGGCCAGGACCAGCATCACACCGGCGCAAGCGAGGGAGCAGGAACCGTAGGTCGCAGCAAGGCATTTATGTTTTCCAGTGCTGGCCGTGATACCAATTAGGCTGGTCACCACGACTGCCAGGCCCACGAAGAGCAGTATACGTACAAGCATCAACGTCGTTAACACGTGAGAAGCCCCTGCAAGGTCTTCCCCGAACGGGCCAGCAGTGTCGAAACGAACCACTTTGTCCATCAAGTAGATGGCTTCTGATTTCGACCCTGCCATCGACGCCCACAGCAGCACTGCCCCTGTGACCAACGACAAAGATGCCCAGGCGGTTGCTGTCACGGATTGCCGGTGCCTTTCTCGCTTATCCATTGCGTGCACGTCTTCTTCCAAGTCCGAATCCGCCATGTCTCTGCCAACACCCGATGTGTGCTGAAACCTTGCATGTGATACATGCTGAAGTTGAAGTACAATGCAAATATTCAGAAGCTCATTTCCTGCTTGTACCCGACTTCCGAAAACGCGTGCTTTCCTCTTGCGTTCCATGCAGAACCGTTTTGCTCTTATCTCAGAACTGCCGCCTACGCTGGGGCCAAAAGCCGATTCAAGTGCATGCTCGGGATGGCTTGCAATCAAAACATGCTTAGGGGAAATGCCACATGTGCCACATGGAACCATGTGAAACAACGGCCCGCCCAAACAGAAGAAACCAAATCTTTAACCGGAAAGGAAACAGGGTTCCAGACACACGGCGTTGCCGTTGACAGTAGCCATATTCAAAATGTACACAGTCCTTGTTTTGCTCCTGCACGGATCATCACTGGATGCATCGGCATTGCAAACAACGCTGGCCTCCGAAGTAAAAGTGTGTGACAGCAAGAGCATGGGAATCACACAACCGAAAAATTTAGGATGCAACTCACACTCCAGCACATTAACACTCGAAACAGCTTGTCGCTTCATGCACACGATATGCCGCCAGTCCCTTCGAACAGGGTCGAAATAAGTTGACAGAGGCGGCAGAGATGTGCAAGGAGAATCAACAGTCGGCTACGCAACCCATTTTTTCAGCTCACTACACAAGAGCCACATCGAGTCCGGATTCGATCTCCACAAAGCAAATGACAATGCTGCTCCAAACGGTGTCAAATGTTCGAAAACTCTCTGGCAAACTCAAAGAAAAGCAAGGAGCAAGCAATTTGGAGTACTTATGTTTGTTCTTCTACGCCGTCTTGGCACCTTGTTGCTGTATGCATCGAACTTTCTGTTTTGTGCCTTGTAACTTTTCCCCCAAACTCTGTGCTTGTGTGCGTCCATCTCTCTGCTTCTGCTTGTTCGTCTCGCATTCCTCCGTACATTCTTACATCTGTGCTTTGGCTGCATTGTGTGTGCTGTGGGTGTGCTAAATGATTTTCTGCCCACCTCAGGTGCTTTTTTGGGCCGTGACTGCAGTACGCAATGGACTTCTCGGTGCTGCTGGCTGCAGGCATTGAGGCCGAATCATGCCACGTGTTACACTCAAAATAAAACCCTCTGCAACTTGTGACTCTACTGTGTCGCAGCCTTGCAACCAAAAGTGACGGAACCACAGCGAACGCGTGTACCGGGGACGGACTTGATTTTTTTGCCGAACGGCAAAGCAATGGTGCGAAGCACTCTCCGTTTAAATCATTGTACGAGATGCGGTGTTTTTTTAGCTTCACCTTCGATTCCCACTGCAGTAAAACCATGCATGTGCCACATTCCTAACAACAAAACACCAACCCGCAACAAACAAAGCCAACACATCCGAACACAACAACTATGAAACACCTTCCTGCTGCTACTGTTAATACCACTACTATTGCTGCTACTACGACGACTACTAGTACACCAACCACAACCGAGCTACTACTGCTGCTACTACTACTACTACTACTACTACTAGTACTACTACTACTACTACTACTACTACTACTACTATTCCTGCTGCGGCGACTACTACTACTACTACTACTACTACTACTGCTACTGCTAAGAGCGTAGTGCATAATTGACGC